TCGGGAGTTCGAACAAATGGAATTAGAATTTTTTTCTTTGCCTGAGGAGAGTGAAAAATGATGGAATTATTGAACCAAAAAAGCCTGAAATTTTTTCCAAAAAGTTGCTATCAATAACCCCAATCGGACTAAAAGAGTAGAATTAACTCCAGACGAATTGCCTCACTATGCTAAAAAAACTCAGGATTTATACTTTGACTATCATTTTGGTTGAGGGGAGTTGTGCAGCAATAGCCACCGAAAAAACTATGACTTATCCCAACACAGCAAATATTCCCAAGAAGATTTAAGTATCGATGGGATTATTCCCGAGGTAGTAGAAGTATCCTTTGGGGTAGAAAGATTGATGTTAGCCATTTTAGAGGATGCTTATCATGAAGAAATCGTAGACTCTGGATTAAAAAAAACAAAAAGAACATTTTTAAAATTACATCCTTTATTAGCCCCTTATTTTGCCGCCATTATTCCTTTAAGTCCACGGCTAAAAGAATTTGCCTATCAATTATATCTCAATTTACTTCCCCGAGTTCAGTTTAATCTTACTTACGAACAAGCCAGCAGCATTGGTAAAAGTTATCGGCGTCAAGACGCCATCGGCACCTACTACTGTTTAACAGTAGATTTTCAAAGTCGTCAAGGACAAGACATTACGCTTCGTCATCGCAACACTCCCCATGAACAAATTAGGATTAATATTACCTCACTAGCTGAACATTTAAACCAGGAATATCTGAATTGCCAGCAAGAATTTTTTCAATAAATTTGAAAAGAAATAGACGAACTCGAAGAACAATTATATTTTTATGAAAAATTTTTAGTTATTTTAGTAAGGTATAAAAAAACTTGCGTCTGGTATTAACATGTTTGGTAAACTTTTTAATTTAGATATGAAAGAGAATTAGAAAAAATGGTTAATTCCCTGAGTGGAAGTTCAAATTGTTGACGTAGGACTTTGCGAGAAAACCGAAGGGAACTCGGAGAAAAATTTAGAGGGGTGGAGGGGCAGATTTTTGAGAAGAATTAAATTTCACCAAAAATCAGAAGAATGGAGCGAAAAACAATTGCAAGAATTAACTGAACAAAAAGACGAAGAAATTGAAAACCTAAAAAAACAAATTGAACAATTACAAATCCAATCGACTAATTTGCAAACAGTGTAAAGAAATCAAATTATAGTTTTTTATCTTTAATAAAATTTGGAGCACCAGTCAAAGAACAACTACCATCAATATTTTTAGGAAAAGCAATTAATTCTTTGAGGCTGTTAGTTTGAAGAATTATAGACAATAAACGGTCAATTCCCAGGCCAATTCCTCCGTGCGGCGGAGCCGCAAATTCTAAGGCTTGTAAAAAGTAGCCAAAATTTTCCCCCCTTTCTTGGGGTTCGTAACCTAGTATTTCTAACATTTTTTCTTGGAGTTGTCGCTGGTAAATACGGAGACCACCGCTTAATATTTCTTCTCCATTACATACCAGGTCAACTGCTTCACCTATTACTTTTTCTGGGTTGATTTTGTCGTTCAGTAAAGGTTTGAGGTATTTTTTTTTTGGTAAAGTGAAAGGGTGTCGGGTCGCCTCATATTTTTTGGTTTCCTGGTTATATTCAAAAAGCGGTCAATCAGTTATTCAAACAAAACTTAATTCCTGGGGGTTGACAGTGGTGCGTAAATCTGGTTTATCAGTTTGGTATTTTTTTTTGGTTTCCTGGTAAGTTAAAGAAGCAAAAGGAGTTTTTAATTGGTGGTTAAAAATTTTTTTAAGAGTAAATTGAAGGAGTTTTTCGATAATTCGCTTAATTTGGATTAAGGAAACAAAACTCAATTCTAAGTCAAGTTGCGAAAACTCGATTTGACGATTGCTGCGGGCTCCTTCATTACGAAAACTTTTAGCAAGCTGATAATATTTAGTAAATCCTCCTATCATTAATAACTGCTTAAAGATTTGGGGTGATTGAGGCAGGGTGTAATAGCGGTTTTTCAGATTAGAAGGAACTACAAAACAGTTGGCACCTTCGGGCGAACTCTGGGCTAAAATAGGAGTTTCGAGGTCCACAAAACCTTGCTGGTGAAGAAAATTCCGGGCGGCTTGGCAAAACTGGCTTTTGAGGAGCAAAAGCCTTTTGCTGCGAGAGCGCCGCAAATCCAAATAACGATAACGATAACGAGTATCTTCGTTAATGTTGGCCGCATCAGCAATTTCAAAAGGTAGTTCTTTACTCGAATTAATTAATTGATATTTTTCTAGTTCGACTTCTACCTTTTTCTCCGCTCCGGTTTTTTTTCGCACAGTTCCTCATAATTTTAATAAATCTCCTTTTTTAACCAGTTTTAATTCCTCAATTAATTTGTTTTTTTTAATTACCGTTTGGATATAACCGCTGCCGTCCTGGCAAACTAGAAACAACAAATTATCACCCAAGCGACGGATGGTGTTAATTCAAGCAAAAAAAACAACTTTTTTTCCAATTTTTTCCCAGTTTAGTTGCGAACAATTATAGACACGAGGCATTTAAGAGACTTGTTATATACCTTTTACTACTTCCCGAATGAACAAAACAAGTAAGAAATTCCTAAGAAAAATTTTCTGGCCGACTACTTATATTCTAGAAAATAACCATCTTTTTCTTTCAGAAAATATACGGCCTGGTCAAGATAAGAAAACTCTCGATAATCACTAAATTCTTTACTGAGGTAAAAAGTATTTCTTTCGGTCTGACATTGGACAAGATTATGGTCTTTCTTAATGACAATTCAACAGTTTTTTCTAATAAATAGGTCGGGTTCTATTCCTGTGGGAAAACCACCAGTAAAGGCAATGAACTTTCTTACTCAGGTAGCATTGGGATTGCCAGAAATAGCATCATTTAAGTCAGAACACAGGCCTTCCTCCATACCTCGAACATTTCTCATCTTATCTATCCACTTTTCTTCTATTTCTTTAACTTTAAAGATAAAATACAACATCTATTCTTTTACGCTAATGATTCTGGGATTATCGGGAAAAAATTCCTTAAATATCAAAATAATAATCATTGATAATAAAACACTGACAAGGACAGAAACGATAATAATAGTGATTGTCTTTCATCTTGCTTTTAAGTCTTGTAATTGTGGTTTTAATGCATATTCCAGTTGGTTAGAAAGAAAACTAATTTTTTTTCTTAATTCAGTAATTTCTTTATTTTCTTCCTTCTCCCCTTCACCTGCAACTTCTTTCAAAAGAGAGTTTTGGTCCCGCTGAATTAATTTTTTATGTCCATTGAGATTTTTCTGTGCCTCTTTACCCAATGACTCGTATTTCTCTAATCACGACTGATAGCGCGGCAAGAAATTGTTGTTATGAATAGACTTACTTATTAAACTTATCACAATTTCTTTGCTGGCTCGTTCAATTTCTGCTCACAATTTTTCGGCTTCATTTCTTAATTCTTCGGTTCGTTGCGTCTCGGTGCCTCAATAATTATAAAGTTTGCTTAGATCATTTCAAACTTCTTCACTGGGAGGAACTAAATTTTTTCTGCGACCAAAAAGCGTTTCTCGCCGGTCCGGGAAAAGTTCGAATCAACTCTTCCCTTCCTCTCATTCAGGCAAGGGATGATAAGTTAAATCGCCCCAAATGCGGCTAACGCTAGCCAAAAAATCGTTGAGAGTTTTTGCTAACTCTTCTTTGTTAGCTGTTGCCAAGGAATATTTTTTGTGAATAAGAGGGAGGAGAGTATATTCAGTTTGCCCCTCTTCTTTTTGTAAAGTGTTTTCTAATAACCAGTCTTTGTATTTTTTTCAAGTCATATAATTACATATTATTTATTAAATTTTTTCCCGTGACAATATTATTTTTAAAAGCAATTGACACAAAAAAAACACTACGCGATCAACACTAAAATCGAGTTACACTTTACTTTTTGATTTTTTTTTTATTCAGATTATTCCCGCAAATGCTGCCGTAATGGTTATCGTTACCAAAATCAAGACTGGGGTGAGAGGAAGGTCGTTTTTTTTCTGGGTGAATTCCCCACCGGGAACAGGACTAGAAGAAGTTTGGGAAATTATGGGCTTTGGTGGCGTTTCGGCTTCATTCTCTAATGGAAAAGGCTCAGGAGAACAGTGTTTATTTTCCCTACTGAGAGTAGGTGGCGAGGAAGAATAAGAAATAAAGTCTTTTTTTTCACTTTGGGAAGCAACTGAACCACTATCAACGGCATCAATCACAAAGGGCAAAGTATTTTCTCTTTCCTTTGTTGAACTTTCTAATTTTTCCTCATTATAAGAAGAAAGACCAATAGAAAAAGCAGGAGGCGAGTTCCTCAATCCTTCCAGCATTGGATCAACTCCACTTAATGCTTTCCCGGACGTTTCGCTTGGCGAGTCAGAAAATGAGATGCCCTCGTAAAGTATTTTTGGGACAACATTTGAATTTTTGGTATTGATTTCTTCGTCTCACGAATGGCCTAAACCAAAATTTATAATCTTATTTTCTAATTCCTGAATTTGGTGAGCGTAGTTATCGTATCAATGTGTCTCCCAATAGTTTTTAGTCCATTGTTCAATCTGATCAACCACGTATTCCTTATAATCCTTTCCCTCTAAATGCCTTTTTAACTTTTCCTCTATTTTACCATCGGTCTTGCCTAATCCCCTTTCAATCCGTAGTAGAGAACGGGTTTCCATTAAAATCCGCCCTAACCAATTTTGCCCTCGTCCATCTGAACCATTACCTCAAACACTATTTTTTGGTCCACTGTTTTGCGTATTCTCAATTAAAATAGCATAGCCAGTATTTAGTAATTTTTCGGCCAATCTGGAATGCTGAGTAAATTTAAGTTTTACTACTCATCGCATCGCACTTAGACTATAACCGACTCAACTTCACCCCCCTCAATCAGAACGAACAGAATTTAAACTTCTTGCTTTATCAAGAGCCTTTTCGGGAGTAGACTGCAGCCTAATTTTTTCCATTTTTTTACTCCCTTCAATATTGTTTGAGAACTTTAAGGCTTGATAAAGATGTTCACTGGTTGGTCATTCTTTTTTTGAATACAATTCTTTGCTATTGCTCTCTATTCTGCCGTATTTGTCTAACTGACTAGGAATAGCAGTTGAAATGGGAAATTCAGTGACAAAATTGGTCAGATAAAAATATTCATTTTTGGTCTTACTTCCTTCTTTTGTTTTATCCCAACAATGATAGAACTTAATTACTTTTACCATTTGATTATCTTTTGTAGCCTTTTTAATAAATATTAAAGCGAATTTTATAAAAGTCCGGTGCAAAAACTATATTAAATTTAGAATAAGTGGCGGAAAAGACTTAAAAAATCTGGTAAAACTAAGCACAAGATATTAGTTTCATTAACACTACTTCTTGCTGCTATCATTTTTTAATTTATTATATTATTTTTTTCTTTTTCTGGCGATAAATTTTTAATTTCGCCTTTCGTTCCGGAAGTTGGTTATAAATTTTTCATCATTCTTTACTATATTTAACTAGT